CAAATATTAAGGGCAACATTGAATAAATGGTATCTACTAAAACTGAGAAGCTTCTGTAAAGCAAAGGATACTGTCACTAAGACACAAAGGCAACCTACTGACTGGGAGAAGATCTTCACCAACCCCGCAACAGACAAAGGTCTGATCTCCAAAATATATAGAGAACTCAGGAAACTAGACTTTAAAATGCTAATTAACCCAATTAAAAAATGGGGCACTGAACAGAACAGAGAATTCTCAACAGAAGAAGTTCAAATGGCCAAAAGACACTTAAGGTCATGCTCAACCTCCTTAGCGATCAGGGAAATGCAAATCAAATCAACTTTGAGATAACATCTTACACCTGTCAGAATGGCTAAAATAAAAAACTCCAATGATAGCCTTTGCGGGAGAGGCTGAGGAGGAAGGGGTACCCTCATCCATTGCTGGTGGGAATGCAATCTGTGCAACCACTTTGGAAATCAGTGTTTCGGTTTCTCAGGAAATTCGGAATCAACCTACCCCTAGACCCAGCAATACCATTCCTGGGAATATACCCAAGAGATGTCCTATCATATGACAAGAGCATTTGTTCAACTATGTCCATAGCAGTATTATTTGTAATAGCCAGAACCTGGAAACAACCTAGATGCCCTTCAATGGAAGAATGGATGAAGAAAGTGTGCTATATATACACATTAGAGTACTATGCTGCGGTAAAACACAATGACTTCTCGAATTTTGCATGCAAATGGATGGAAATAGAAAACACTATCCTGAGTGAGGTAACCCAGACCCAAAAAGATGAACATGGGATGTACTCACTCATAATTGGTTTCTAGCCATAAATAAGGGTCACAGAGTGTACAATTGGTGAACCTAAAGAAGCTAAGTAAGAAGGTGAACCCGAGGAAAAACATATAGTTATCCTCTTGTCTATGTGAAGTAGACAAAATTGCCGGGGAGAAAATTGGGATCTTGGGGGTGGGGTGGGATGGAGGTAAGGGGAAATGGGGAGAGAAAAGTGAGAAGGGGAGGATGGGGGGAACTTGGGGAAAAAGGATGATTGGGATAAAGGAAGGTTGGTTAGGGGAGCAGGGAAGCACAATTCTTAGTTAAGGGAGCCACCTTAGGGTTGGCAAGAGACTTGAACCTAGAGTGACTCCCAGGAGCCCAAGGCGATGTCCCCAGTTAGTTCCTTGGGCAGCTGAGGATAGGGAACCTGAAACGACCCTATCCTATATTAATACTGACGAATATCTTGAATATCACCATAGAACCTTCATCTGGTGATGGATGGAGATAGAGACAGAGACCCACACTGGAGCACTGGACTGAGCTCCCAAGGTCCCAATGAGGAGCAGAAGGAGGGAGAACAGGAGCAAAGAAGTCGGGACCACGAGGGGTGCACCCACCCACTGAGACAGTGGAGGTGATCTACTGGGAGCTCACCAAGGCCAGCGGGACTGTGACTGAAAAAGCATGGGATAAAACCAGACTCTCTGAACATGGCGAACAATGAGGGCTGATGACAAGCCAAGGACAATGGCACGGGGTCTTGATCCTACTTAATGTGCTGGCTCTGTGGGAGCCTATCCAGTTTGGATGTTCACCTTCCTAGATATGGACAGAGGGGGGAGGACCTTGGACTTACCACAGGGCAGGGAACCCTGACTGCTCTTTGGACTGGAGAGGGATGGGGAGAGGAGTAGGGGGAGGGGGAGAAGGATGGGAGGAGGGGGAGAAGGGTGGGAGGAGTAGTAGGGAAATGGGAGACTGGGAGGAGGCAGAAACTTATTTTTTTTTTCCTTTTCTCAATAAAAGAAAAAGAACCAAAGACTGTGGGAGACCACAAGCATGTATGTTCACGGTGTATGTGCAAGAACACACAGAGGTCAGAAGAGCGCAGTGGATCTACTAGCTCCAGAGTTACAGAATGCTGTGAGACACCATATGGGCTCTGGAAACTGAGTCTGGGTCCTCTGTAAGAGAAGTTATGCTCTTCATTACTGAGTCATTCCTCTAGTCCCAAATTAAATTTCTGATGTTTAACATTTTTCAAGTTAAAGTAAACAGAGAGGAGTTCGGAGGTCTGCAGCTGGGGAAAGTATGTAAAATTTAGTTCCAATTATGGGGATATTCAGGATCACTAGTCCATTTGCTTCCCAACTTCCAAATTTTTGTTACTATTATTACTCTATTCTTCATGGGTTTTGTCTCTTAAAATCACTTATAGAATATAATCAGGTGAGTGAAATTGGACCAGTGCTTTTTATTCATAATCAGAATCATAAGAAACTTTTAAGAAAGTATTAGACACTTTTACACTTCTTTAGTGAAGGAGCTTTGAGCAGAGGGACCTTGTTACATGGAGGCAGATGCATCTCCCTAGAAAGCATATTTTACTGCAGACCCATGGCTCCAATCCTTCTCAACGCTTTGATCCTTAACACAGTTCCTCATGTTTTAGTGGCCTCTAACCATAAAGTTATTTTGTTGTTAGTTCATAATTGCATGTTTGCTATTGTTGTGAATCATAATGTAAATATCTGACATACAAGCTATATGATATACAATCCCAAAAGCATTCTGACCCACAGGTTGAAAACTGCCGACATAGATTGTCATTATCGATTAGTTACAAGAGTGTTTAAGGTATAAAGAAAACGATAAAACATCCTATATTTTATGGAGCCTAGTGCTGCACTAATTTTGTCTGTTCTAATAAAGACAGAGGGGAATTGAGTATCGTATGTGTTCACTAACAAGGCTCTGGGGAACTCTGTTTCCTGACTTCTTGGATCTTTAGACATTTAAAGTGAATTTGTTCACCCTCTTCTAGGGATTCAGGAAGAGGGGCCTCTGACTCTATCAAGCCAGGCTTCAAAATGAAAATATAAAATACCCCAGAATTCCTCAAAATTTTGTCCAGGCAGAATCAGAATTTGTCTCATATCATTGTAAGTTTTCAACAAAGAAGCTCATCTTTCCGTATTTTCTCTTCAAGCAGATGAAGGTAGTTATGAGTGATCCTGCCTTCCATTCAGATATTACATAGACTTGTCATTGAATCTTTTGTTTACTTTTGGACTTCTCATCTAGAACTTTGATAAACTTTTCTTGAAGCTTCTATTCCTTCTATAGTTTTTAATCTCCATTGAATAATTTGACTTTTGTCTTGGTCTATTTGCTGTTTATATTTTAAATTTTTTATTCAGAACCCCAATTCCAGACAATCCCATTAAATCTTTCTTTTCAGGAAGATTATGATTATCCTTTTTCATAAATACTTTTGCATGGCTTTCTTCTCAGCGAACAAAATGGCAGTGAGCACAGGAATTTGACTAAAATTGTTGTGGCTGTCAGGTCTTTCTTGTGGCACTCTTACCATAAGGCTCACACCATCTCACACTTGTTGACTGACATATTAGAGCAAGAGGTAGTGGTGGTAAGTAAAGGGACTTGCTTGATTTGGATGAGAAGAAGTGAACAAATTATGGAAATTGCTCATTGATGTTTCAAAGGTATATTGAGATTTCTGAGGCCAAGTTTCTAAGAACAATAATAAAATTTTGTAAGAAAATGTAGCATAAGGTGCTAACACAGAATACTGAGGAGACTAACAAAGACAGAAAGTAAACATGTGGCTCTGCAAGGCCACAGATTTCTCAGTGGGCAAGAACAGCCACAAGTCTGTTGATTTAAGTTCGTTACTTAGAAGCTACACGGTGGAAGGAGAGAACTGACTTTTCTAAGTTGTTCTTGTGCTTCTACACAGGTACATACACATATGTATGCCTGAATGTACACAGAGAGACACACGCACACGGAGAGAGAAAGAGATGCATGCATGTACACACACAATAAATAAATATTTTTAAATGACTTTAAGGAAGATATTTGGGTTTATTTAAAGGAGTGTGGGAGTTTACCCAGGTGAACTTTTTGTTGCCATAGCAATTGACTGATTGATGCATTTTATACTCTCATTGGTAGTAAAAGACTTGTTTTTCTCTCATATAACTTGCAGGTGCTTGGCATGGTTCATTGGAAATAAAGACAGGACCTGGAAGCTAGGGAATCATGGAACTATCTGCCACCTTGTATCCCTCTTTGTCTTGAAGAAATTATAATCCATTGGGTCTTAGTAGAGTATTTCCCTTTCAGAACATGTTATTTGAATGTGCTCAGTAACTGGAGTCTAATCTTTGTAAAGATCCACATTACCCATCATGATATTATGTCACAGACAAAATTTTTGTGACTCCTAATTTCTCATAAAATTTTTGATATCCTGAGATGTGTCAGTTAATTTAGTTAGTGTACTTCAGAGGTTGATATATATAATCATTCTCAGATTCTCCTTTTAGAAAAGTTTGAAATTTTCACTTTGAAATCTAATGACTATTTTAGGAAATATCCTTTGGTCTGCAGATAGGTTTCTGTTTAGGTGTGAACTCTGATTAAAGAAAATCATCTACAGAAAGATGGCTGTGCTGTTGACAGACAATCCAAGGATTGATATTTTCCATCTGGAGAAGTTGTCAAAAGTAGAGAGAATGAATCACTCCACAGCCCTTGACTATGAAGTGGGTAATCATGAATGTTTGGTAAAGGCAACATTTTTGCACATTTTTGGATAATACTCCAAAAGAATGTACAATTTGGATCATGTTCATATAGCCATAAAAATATCCTAGTGTAATAATAGAGCTGATAGGACTTTATAAACCTAGTCTAAGCTGGGTAGTAAGAGAATTGACTATGCCTAGACCCTTACTGGAAGAGATCTCCTGGTATCACAGACTGACCTGGGGGAAAAAGAGAGGAGAGATGGAAAATATAGAATTCCTCAGAAAGAACGAATAAAAGGAAGTAAGAACTGGTGGCAAGAACCATCAGGACTGGGGAGTAGATCATTTAAATATAGACATGGGTATGTGAAGGTTGAAACCCAGTGCCTGAAGCTTAAGTATCAACCCTACATTCTGACTATCTTTTCTGACCACCAGGATCTGTAGGCTCATGGACAACCAATCCAGCATCTCAGAGTTTTACCTGCGAGGAATATCAGGGTTTCCAGAGCAACGGTGGCTACTCTATGGGATGTTCCTGTGTATGTATCTTGTCACCTTGACTGGGAATGTGCTCATCATCCTGGCCATTGGCTCTGACCCACACCTCCACACTCCTATGTACTTCTTTTTGGCCAACCTGTCCTTTGCTGACATGGGTTTAATATCATCTACAGTGACCAAGATGTTGTTTAATGCTCAGACTCAGCGCCATACCATCTCATATACTGGTTGTCTCATCCAGATGTATTTCTTCCTGATGTTTGGTGATCTAGACAGTTTCTTCCTGGCTGTGATGGCCTATGACCGCTATGTGGCCATCTGTCGCCCTCTCCATTATTCCACAACCATGGATACCCAGTTCTGTGCCCTGATGCTTGCCCTGTGCTGGGTCCTCACCAACGTAGTTGCTCTGACTCACACTCTCCTCATGGCTCGACTGTCCTTCTGTGTTGTTGGGGAAATAGCTCACTTTTTCTGTGACCTTATTCCTGTTCTGAAGCTATCATGCTCTGACACATATGTCAATGAGCTAATGATTTCTGTCTTAGGAGGCACAGTACTCATGGTCCCCTTTCTATGCATTGTCATCTCCTATGTCCATATTGTATTTGCCATCCTGAGGGTTAGAACCCCTGGTGGGGGTACAAAGGCCTTTTCTACCTGTAGTTCCCACCTCTGTGTGGTCTGTTTTTTCTATGGGACGTTGTTCAGTGCCTACTTGTGCCCACCTTCTATAGTCTCAGTAGAAAAGGACATTGTAGCTGCTGCAATGTATACAGTAGTGACTCCCATGTTGAACCCTTTCATCTATAGCCTAAGAAACAAGGACATGAAAGAGGCTCTAAGGAAGCTCCTCTGTCAGAGGCAAATTTTCTCTTCCTAAATATAATGAGAGTAATGTTTAATGAAGGGACACGTCTATGTTAAACAAGTTTCTTTTAATTTGGTGTTGTGTACATACTTGCCACCAGGTTGATTTCTAATTACTTAACCTCACTAGACTTTAGCCTTCCCTAATATAAAGTAAAGATTATAGAAAATAAGTTGTTTCTTTGCTTTTATGCTTATTTATTTATTCTTTTCTCCATTCTGTCTTCTTATTTGACATAGTGCTTTTTTGAGATAAGGTTTTTCAGTGTAGCCTTTCCAGTCCTGGAACCCACTCAGTAGACCAGGCTGGCCATGAACTCACAGAGATTCTCCTGCCTCTGCCTCCTGAGTGCTGGGATTTAAGGTGTGTGCCGCCGCCACCTGGCTGAGAGAGCACTGATGTACAACTCAGGCTAACTTTACATTCACTCTGTTGCCTGAATTGGCCTTTAGCTCACAACTTCCCTGTCTCAGTCTCCTGTGCAAAGTTTGTAGTCATGAATATCAACACCCAGTTTAGTAGTTTCTATTTAATAAGATGAGTTGGACGATTGAGTAAGATAAGCAAGGAAGTGCATCTGATGCAACAGCAAATGTGGTAGACACCAACAACTGAGAGCTATTGGTACTATGAATGTCATTCTTCATATGTACCTCCATCCAGAAGTAAAAAACTATTTTCTGAGATCCATTTGCTCAACAAGTAGAATATTTTTTCTATGCCTAAAGCTAAGTAAAAGTTCCTACACTAATATTTCACTCTAAATTATTAGCTTATCACTTGTTGTATTCGTCCTGTTCATAGGAATATGTAGAATTTAAGAGAAAATAAAGAATGGGTGTTACATTCCAGGAAATCCAGAATAGGTAAAGAATTTTCCATCACTATGAACTCAGTATTTAGATTTCTCTGCTGGCTAAATGTCATTCTATAGTTTGGAAAGATTTTTCCAGGAATGTTGTTACACTGTGTTACAATGCTTCTGCTCATTGCTGTTCAGAAATGTTTATTTCAGAGGCTGAAGAGATGGTTCATTAGACAGAGCACTGTTCTTTTAGCAAACCCAGGTTCAGTATCCAGTACTTAAGTCAAGCAGCTTGCAACCACCTGTGATTCCAGTTCCAGATCCAGCACCCTCTTTTGGCCTCCATGGACATATACGTAAACATGTGCATGCTCACTCATAGACAGCACATACATGTAAATAAAAATTTAACAAGATATTTTAAAAGAAAAACACTCCTAAAAAACAAAAGGGTGCTCAAAACTACCAACCTTCCTAAGACCACTAGATGGGAATATTAAGACCTCTTTTCGTATTTGGTTGCAAATTTGTCTTCAGGTATAAACTGGGCATCAGAATCTTAGCTTTAGAGAGAGAAAATGAGATGTGTAAAGCTTTAGCTTTCTCCCCTTCAAGAATCACACAAGTGTAAAAATTTTAGTGTAAGTACCATAAAATTGTGATCCTTCTATTTGACTTGACCATTGTCTAATGTCTGTGTAAACAACTAAGCCATTAAGGCTTGGGAACAGAGTGTGTGTTCACTTTGGCTTGACCATTTTCTACCATCTACCTGAACAACAAAGCCGACTAGGAAAGCAGAGTGTAAGTTCACTTTGGTTTCCCCAATATTACTGCAGCAATAAGGGTTTAGGTCAACTCAGCATATAAAGGACCACAAAGGGACATGATTGCTTGTTCCTGGTCAACTCTCTACGATCTTAGATTCCACCCAGTCAAGCTAGTATTAAAAATTCTAAGTGTGTTTCTTTCTTGATACATAATCTTTACCCTTGGCCTCAAAGTTCAAACTTCTACCCCTGTAATGCCACCGATTTCTAATATGTTGTTGGTACTTCAATGACTTATACTGAATTAAGGATTACTGTTAAGTCTTTGTGCTTCAGCTGCAATCAGAGGTACATGATAAGCATGTACGTGAGTGATAATTTCCACTGCTATCCGAGGTACGTGATAAGCAGTCTGCACATGCATCTTGCCTACTTAAAGTACCCACTTTTTATTTGTTTAGAATCAATACAGGAAAAGCATGCCATCATTAACGTACTACTACAATTCCTTAAGAGTGTTAAACATAGTCAAACTTATTCTAGCTATCTAGGTTTGTATTCTTCCTTAAATATCTGTTTATAAAGTCAAAAAATTAAGAACATTCCTGAGAAGTACTGGCATTTCTCCCCTTCATTACTACCACCTGTCTAGTATACTTCCATATTATGCTTTCCCTATCCTTATGCCATGATACTCATCCAGGCACTTTTTGTCTGTTACTCAGAGTACAATTACTAATCCATTGCCAAATTATCTCCATTGGCTACCCAGTGCTAATACACAAGCTCCTTAATATGGCATCTTGTGTCCTGTGCAATAAAATACTTATCTGCTTGCCTAGATTCATGTATGGTGTTCTCTTGACTCTCACATAGCTGTGCTTTAGCAACACAAACCCTTTTTATTTTTTTTGAACTTAGCTGCTACTGTACCACTCCTGGTTTATTCTATCCCTTCTGTCTAGATTGTCATTTGTCCCATTGCAAATTAATCTTGAACAGTCTTCAAAACTCAATTGAAAACATTCTTCCCCATAATGTTTTTTTCTGGAACTTAGGCAGTATTTCCTATTGAATTATGAAAAAAACATGGCATTTTATTATTTTTATAGTAAGACATTTTTGGTATTCTTGCATATTTCACTATGTCTCTACATAGCTAGGATAGAAGCTAGAGCTGAATGATGGTGGCACACAACTTTAATCCCAGCATTCAGGGGGAAGAGGCAGACAGATCTCTGTGAGTTCTAGGCCAGCCAGGTCTACAAGATCTAGTTCCAGGACAGGCACCAAAGCTATACAGAGAAACCCTGTCTCAAAAAAAAAAAAAGAAAGAAAACAAAGCAAAAAAGGAGCTAGAGGTATGTCCTTTTCCTTTTGAGCAGAGCTAGACTCACTGTCTGCCATAGGACAGGTTATGTCCTAAACAACTGCTAACTAACAGAATCTATAAAATAAGGTAAGCAACAATCTAACTTTTCAGACTTTACATAAATACATTAACTTTATGAACATTTATGATAATTATGTGATATTTGTGATAGTTATTTTGATATTTGCAGCGTCTTTATTTAAAATTACATATATGCATATATAACATATATGCATATGAAACCAGTTGGGATTGAGTTTGCAGGCAACATGACCCCATTCTTGTGGTTTAATCATGGGAATTATGAGGAGGTTTTCTTTGTCACTGTTCTCAAAGTCAAGAAGCTTCAAGTCTTGAAATGGAGTAGTTGAACTCACAACAGAGTTTTCTGGTGTTAGAGAAAGCAAAATATATTTTCTTCTCTTGGTCCACCTTCATTAGAAGTAATTTTTTAAAATAAGAAGAGTACTGGATTGGAAGTGAAGGAAGGAAATGATACTACACTAATGTCAGCATCCTCTAACAATTCTTATAAACAAACATATTTCCAGGAAATAAGAAGAGTGATTTAAATTAGTATAATAATTGTAATTTCCTAATCTAGCAGCAAAATAAATTGGCAACAATAACAGAGTTCAACTTTTTACACTAAAGAGATGCAAGGGAAATAGAAATAAATATACCAGAATGACATTTAAGGAGTCTAATATTTACTGACTGTGTGCTTCATAATGAGATTACAATTGAGGGTGTAGAATTTGGAGATATGTGAATACATAGGTTTATTATGATGTCATTAAGTTCAGGTTACTGCCCTGCTGAAGAGCTTCTTCATAGCCTCTTTCATGTCTCAGTTCATAAAGGGTTTCAACAATGGAGTGGCCTCTGAGTACATCACAGAAGTGACTATTTCCTTGTCACTTGAAGTGCTAGGTGAAGGTATAAGATAAAGTCCAATAATTGCACCATGATACAGAGACACCACAGAGGGGTGAGAGCCACATGTGGGCAAAGCTTTGCAGATTCCTTTTTTTTTTTTAAATTTTTTTTTTATTGCGAAAAGAAGAAAAAAAAACATAAACAAAAAACAAGTTTCCACCTCCTCCCAGCCTCCCATTTCCCTTCCCCTCCTCCCACCCTTCTCCCCCTCCTCCCACCCTTCTCCCCCTCACCCCACTCCTCTCCCCCTCCCTCTCCAGTCCACAGAGCAGTCCGGGTTCCCTGCCCTGTGGTAAGTCCTAGGTCCTCCCCACTCCGTCCATATCTAGGAAGGTGAACATCCAAACTGGCTAGGCTCCCACAAAGCCAGCACATTAAGTAGGATCAAAACCCCCTGCCATTGTCCTTGGTGTCTCATCAGCCCTCATTGTTCGCCATGTTCAGAGAGTCCGGTTTTATCCCATGCTTTTTCGGTCACAGTCCAGCTGGCCTTGGTGAGCTCCCCGTAGATCAGCTCCACTGTCTCAGTGGGTGGATGCACGCCTCGTGGTCCTGAATTCTTTGCTCATGTTCTCCCTCCTTCTGCTCCTCCTTGGGACCTTGGGAGCTCAGTCCAGTGCTGTTGTGTGGGTCTCTGTCTCTATCTCTATCCATCACCAGATGAAGATTCTATGATGATATGCAAGATATTCGTCAGTATTGCTCTAGGATAGGGTCATTTCAGGTTCCCAATCCTCAGCTGCCCAAGGAACTAACTGGGAAACTCATCTTGGGCACTAGGGAGCCCCTCTAGGGTCAAGTCTCTTGCCCACCCTAAACTGGCTCCCTTAACTAAGAATTGTGCTTCCGTGCTCCCCTATCCACCTTTCCTTTATCCCAATTCTCCTGTTTCCCAGGTCCCCTCTCCTTCCCTTCTACCTTTTCTCTCCCCATCTCCCTTTACCCCCATCCCACCCCATCCCCAAGATCCCATTTTCTCCCCGGAAATTTGGTCTACTTCCCTTAGCAAAGAGGACAACTATATGTTTTTCCTTGGGTTCACCTTCTTACTTAGCTTCTTTAGGTTCACCTCTTGTAGACTCCGTGGTCCTTATTTATGGCTAGAAACCAATTATGAGTGAGTACA